TAGTCAAAAAATTGAATTTTGAATCGACTAAATAGCTCCTTAGAAATATAATTTTACATATTCGATTTCCTTAAAATTTCCCTTCGTAGGAACCATTCAACGGATAGTACAAATTTTGTACCTTCCTATATAAAATCTCATAATTTAAAATGTGTAAAAAATTGTATATCTTACAATTCAAAATTTTTTCGACTATTATTTAATAAAATAATAAAAATGAATAAATATTTCCAAAAATTTAATTTTTACATGGAATTATCTTAGGAAATATGAACTCCATAATTGTATACAAAAATTTTGATTCTCTTAAAATGTTCTCGAGATATGGGGAAATACGCTGAAGGTAAAATTAGCATTAATTATCCAAACTTTATATCGCTCTTCTGACCAAATTATGGGAATCATATTTCCCAGATTGCGTCTACCCCCTATATTTTGGGTTCAGAAATCCGAATTCGTCGGGGGGAAAAAGTTACGTTTTTCAGAGAAAGTACGCTTTTGAGTATGATTTCGTAACTTCTATCGTATCGTCTACACTAATTAATTAGCATATTTGAAGTCACCGCTTTGAACCATTAAGTTCGTGAAGATCCGATCACTAGATCAAAACTTATCACAGGGTGGTTTTTTTTCTCACTAACGTCTAATTGTTAGAATTAAATCCTTATATAAAAAATCTCTATGGACCCTGCGCAGTATTGTAATGCATTTTTAGCGAAGTTTGTTGCTAATTATTATATTACTAGCCGCCTAAGGCGGCCACCTGTCCGCCAAGCTAAAGGTTTTCACAAATAAAGTTTTTTAAAACATAGCAGGAAATCTGAAGATTAGTGGACAATTAAAGTGCTCCTGTCCTGCAATTTTGTCTTCATATCCAGTTCTGCTGCAGATGTGTTATAGCTCTTGAGTTATAGCTCTTAATTCTTCCTATTCTTGTGAAACTTCTTTACAAACAATATTTTTAGTTTTTCCATTTGGTGCCAATAAATATAAGTTCTTTTCATCCCAACTCTTGAGCAGCCAACATAAAGCTGCCCATGTGAAAAGCAAGGCTTCTGCAAGTCAAGACCAACGACTTTTAAAGATTGTCCCTGAGATTTATTTATACTCATAGCAAAACTAAGTCGAACAGGAAACTGAAGTCGTTTAAACTGAAACGAATTGTCTGAAGATATGATGGGGATGCGAGGAATAAGCACACTATTTCCTGTTGAATGTCCTGTTATAATCATAGCTTCAATAACATTAGGCATCAATTTTAAACGAACACGAAAACGAATTAAATTTTTATGGTATCAATTTCTATTTCTATATAATTTTTTATGGTATCAATTTCTATTTCTATATCGCTACAAAAATTATCGTCTTCGCTTAAGAAAAAAAATAGAGCGTGAAAAGAAGAAGAAAAACTTATTACAACAATTATGAACAGCGACATATAGTATTGAGTATAGTTAAGTGCGGCGAGCTCTCTGCTTATCGCTTATAGCTCAAATATACAAATATGTGGTTGTTGTTGTTGTTTCTCATCCCCACTGGTCTAGCGGAGCTAGACCAGGTCCATGAGTCCATTCACCCTCAGGAAGTCAAAAAACAAGACCGGGTCGCGCAGAAAATCCTCCTTTTTAAAGTCCACACAGCCAAGGAGGTGGGCCGGCCTGGCTTCAATGGAGGAACACATGTTGCAGGTGGGATAGATCTTTCGCTGTTGTTCATACCTCATGCACTTTATGTGACCACTGATAAATCTAGTGAATGCGGTCTGATCGCCTCTATTACCGTTGAAGGTCAAAGCACGACCCGGCTTATCCCCAGAGTACCAGATATGTACTGGGGGAGTATTCCAGACTAGCTGGACACCTTGCTTTCTAATGGAGTGAATTTCCGAGGATGTGAGTGCCAAACCCTCCGGCAGAAGTTCATTTGTGCCAAGTTTAGCCAGCGAGTCGGCGATCTCATTCCCGTACAGACCAACGTGGGACGGAATCCACTGCAAATAAATATCCCGCTTCACCGAAAATTTACTGAGAAGTTGTAAGATTGCCGTTCCAGCCCTATCTCCCACTCTTGGCCATACACTCAAATATTGGATAGAGCTTCTACTATCCGTTAGGATCCAGATAGGGTCTAGCAGCGAATCCTCTTCAATTGCGTGTAGTCCTGCCTCAATAGCAAGAAGCTCCGATCGGAAAACAACATTTGTAAATCGGAAACTTTGATATACAAATATATCAAAGCGAAGCGTCCTATTTACGTATCGAATATGTTGCCACATTTTTAACACAAAAGTTAAACTTTTCTCCACTTTGATAAATGTAAACTAATGCTAACCTTACAATTAAATTAATAATTCCTTCTTATATTATTGGTTTAAGTTGTCGAAAATTAATATTTCAATTGTAAGGTTCGCATTAGCATACATTTATAAGAGTGGAGAAAAGTATATGCATTTTTTAATAGTTTTTTGAATATGGCTCTTTGAAGACGAAAAAGCATAGATTTTCTTACAAAATGACTGATAACTAGAAAACTAATCCAAATTTTTGAAAAAGAAAAAAAAATACTTCTTCAATATGTCAAAACACAATTATGTGCCGAGTTTCGTGCCTGGGCGAGGCTTCTGGGGCGATATATTGTAATTGCAGACAGACAGACAAACAGCCGCGTTTATTATTATGTATAGATTTTACATAACGATTTACGGTAGGATGGATGTCAAGTTGTAAATAAATGAGTCATCCTTAAAAGAAAAACCAATTATTCAGACCATTGTTGCCGAAAGCTATCAGATGAACATGGAGTCGCGAAGGTGAAGACTTGAACCAAATGAGAAGGTTTAACATTGAACCAAAAAAACAGTGAGTTTGTGAAGGGGAAGACTAACGTTGAACCAAAAAAACAGTGAATTTGTGAAGGTGAAGACTAACATTGAACCAAAAAAATAGTGAGTTTGTGAAGGTGAAGACTAACATTAAACCAAAAAAACAGTGAGTTTGTGAAAGTGATGACTAACATTGAACCAAAAAAACAGTCAGTTTATGAAGGTGAAGACTAACATTAAACCAAAAAAACAGTCAGTTTGTGAAGGTGAAGACTAACATTGAACCAAAAAAAAAACAATGAGTTTGTGAAGGTGAAGACTAACATTTAACCAAAGAAAACAGTAAGTTCATGAAGGCACAGCAGCTAGCTGCCGAAGACGTCTATTTCAAAATAAAATAAGTTGAAAATTTTTAAAAATTGCTGTTGACATCATAAGAGAGTTACCCTTCAATAACGTACTAATCTGTTTCGCTCTGTGTGATACATTAAAAGACGCTTTCTCCTCACCTGCCACAGCAAACATTATTTTACGAGTTGACAAGAAAATTATGGAATTACAAGTTGCCAGATTAGAATAACTCCTGCCGCAATATTATCATGGTGGTCTGTAGTAGACACTTGTTTTCATGTCTTCGTGCTATAAATTGCTGTAGCATGATAGAACCATATTTCATCTTGCATGGTTGCACTTGCGAAGCATATTTGTACTTAGATTTTTCTCTTTTTTGTGACAATGCTCTCACCACATGTGATGCTCTGGTGGTTATCATTGCTTTTAACTAAATATTTGCTGTCGAATATTTTGTTTGAAATATGTAATTGTTCTTTGTTTGTTTATTCTTTCAATTTTGTTTCTCACGAAGCTCTTGAAAATCATAATTTTTCTGACTTCCTCGTTCGAAAATCTTTGGTTCTTAGGATTTATAAATGGATATATTAGGCTTCTTTGGCATCATAAGTTAATATATTAATAATAAAATCATCATATAAATTGCTAAATAATAACTTTGACAACTTACTTGAAAATTTGCACGTTTGTTGGAAAACGTATAACGGTTTTTTAAGGTTCAATTATTCCAATTTAATTTTTTGTTTTGTTTATTCCGTGGTTATAGACGAAACATCTGAAAACTTTTTTACCAAATTTTAGTTACTTATAGCAATTTTTCTGACAACTTAAACATTTCTCAGTTAAAAAATAATGCGAAATATTTCCTTTTGGTGAAAAATATTTTAATTTATAAAATGTAGAAATATGCCGCGACAGACAGGGTAAAAATAAGAAGAAAACAGAGTATTTAAACAATACGATTAATTACTCTGATACAGTAACAGAACAGAAAATCCGAAATTTCAGTTTTACAAAGCAAGATTTAATTCAAAGGCATGAGATATTAAAATTATAAAATTTTATCTTTTTTTTTAAA